GGTGGGGTGGGAGGGTTTCAGCCAGGAGTAGGATTTGGGGGTTCTCCAAACTGCACAGAATCTTAGCTAGAGGTTTTCCCGAACCCCCAGCAGCCCACCCCTGCATTTAGCCACATGGGTTGGATCAACGTTTTGATGAATATGTCTCTGCTCAGTCCAGAAGGCACCTAGTATCTCCTAAGACCTTCCCTGAGAAGAAAGCTGGCAAACTCCATGCTAACATTAGCTCCCGCCCCATTGCCTAAGCAGGGACAGTGACACCAGGTTTGGTGTTACAACAGACAGTTTTGTGGCTGCCAGGACTTTGCCAGTGAGTTGTGTAATGAAACTTTTTAAAACTACTCTCCATCTTAGAATGATTTAGTTGGGATTTTAAAACCATTGGGTTATGGCTTGGACAACATGACTGACTCCAATTAAACCCAGGGCATCTTTGGATTAAAATTAACTTTCCTGGCCACGGCTCTCTGGGTTGTGATGTTCATATGTTATTTAGTCCACGTTAGCTCAATGAAAATTTTTGTTTGCCAACCTAGCCATTAAGCAACTATACTGGGGATATTGACTTGAGCGCCTATCTCTCATAAAGACAGCCTGGGTAATATTCACTCTCCTTTTTGTAGCTAGACCTTCCTAAATAAAACTATCAAGTCTGGAGAGTTGATTGGTTAAGAAGGATAGGAGATAACAATCCTTTCTTCTCCCCGGAAAATTTTTGTTGTGCGTCTTCAGAAAGAAGACAAAATCTGCAAGATGATGTGGATCTTCGTGATGCAACCGTCACCCCTTTTTGTGTGCATTGACGTTGAATGCATGTTAAAAGTAGGTAGGGCTAGCATTGTGATATTCCATCCATCATCTTGCCCATTTTATTCCCTTCCTTCCTTCCCTCCTCTGCAGAAATACCTGCATCAAGTGTTTCGCCCAGCTGGAAAAGTTTTACAAACTCTTTTTGGTTTTGGTTAAAAAAAAGTTCAAGGCAGAAACTACCAAATGCCTTTTCACTATTAATAAAAGTTGTCTTAGAAGCCAACTAGCTAGGTAGCTAAGGCATGTTAACAGTTCTGGTCTAAGATGGAAAATGAATGGGAAATTAGGGGAATGTCGATGACGTCCACCCTAACTGCGTCATAATTTCTGAACCCTCTAAAACTGAGTCATGATGGCAAATCCAAACAGAAAGAACCACATTTGAAATACAGACACCCATAATCTGTAAACTAACATTGCTGTTCTGGCTACTTTTTATTATTGCCCAGAGACCTCCATCTGTTAGTCATTTTATACTCTCCTTCTGGACGAGATTGGCCCATCTGGTCCTATGCAGTGCAACCCAGCAATGGACTCTCTGTACTAGATCAACACCATCCTTTCTTTTATAGATGACATGGAATCATGTCATTAATGTTTGTTTTGGGGAAAAAATCTAACAGACATATCTGTAAGTTGGTTTGGTACATCAGTTGGGGACAGTTCTAAAAAAATGACCCAGAAACATTTTAAATTTATTGGTTCGATAAACCAATAGATAAACCGGAGACTCAGGGCGGCTTACAATGCGTTAAGCAATAGCCTTCATACTTTTGTATATACCTGCTTAGTAGGGCTTTTGACACCCCCCCCCAAACGGTGTTCTTTTTTATACAAAGTCAGCTTATTGCCCCCACAAACCGGGTCCTCATTTTACCTACCTGAGAAAGGATGGAAGGCTGAATCAACCTTGAGCCTGGTGAGATTTGAACTTGTAGTAACTACAGGCAGCTGGTGTTACTTAACAGCACTTTAGTCTGCTGCGTCACCAAGGCTGATCCCCCCCCCCTCGCTGTTCTACTTACCTTCCCAAGCCTCCTTTTGGCACATACTGCACATGCGTGTGTACACTTAGTGCACAGTGCGCATGCAGTGCCTGTTTGGCATTTACTGCACATGCGCACGCTTGGTGCACAGGGCGCAGCTGCGGCCAGCAAACCGGTTCAGATTTCACCACTGTTGGGGACCCCTGGTTTAGATTATCAGATTCCCCTTTTTTTAGAGATAGGGTGTAAAAAAAGCACAAGTAAAAGAGTTCTGAAAAGAGTAAGAGATTGAAGGGAATAAGGGGGTCTAAAAATATAATGGAGGTTTCAGTTTTTCAATGTATCATTAATTATCAATGAATAGTTGAATATATTATATCATTTTAAAAGTTTAAGAAACTTTCGGAGATGGTTAAGCTTTGAGCTGAAAATAAATACAAAGAACTATGGCCAGTATAGTATAAATCACAGATTGAAATAAGCTATAATAAATGGAATTGATATTGAGAGTCTATTCTCATTTAAATATCTCATGAAATTAAAATACTACAGACTGTGTATACAGAGAACTCCACATTTTGGATGAGGTACAAATCCACATATTAAGTTACATTCTAGAAATGGTTTCTATTTTGAATTGAATTCTAGGTCAGCTTTATTTTTAAGGTGTGAAGTTATTCTAGCCCTTCACTCTTACTCCTACAACTTTGTTAACCATTCTTCCAAAGAGGAAATCAAACAATTTTTCCAGTCTAAAGCATACTGGAAGTATAGTAATTCAGTATACTTTGATGGGATGTATGGTTTAGTGAAGTTCAATTTAAAAGAGGACAAGTCGAAATGGGAATTCAGGTTTCAGCATTAGTTTGATTGTAGCCTAGATCATTTTTCAGAATAGTTCAGCTTTACAATATCGCTGCCAATTATGGCAAATGATTCAAAAGGTTCTAAACTGATTTTTTTTTAAAAAAATGTTGTACAGTATTATAAATCCATAGAGGAATTTACTTTTTCCGTAAGAAGTCTATTTTCTTTTTTTTCTAAACCAAGCTGGATGTCATCCAACAAAAAACAAAAAACCATTTTTTTTAAAATTTGATTTATATGCCGCCCTTCTCTGGAGACTCAGGGCGGCTTACAATGCATTAAGCAATAGCCTTCATTCTTTTGTATATTTATACAAAGTCAGCTTATTGCCCCCACAAACTGGGTCCTCAATTTACCTACCTTAGAAAGGATGGAAGGCTGAGTCAACCTTGAGCCTTGGCGAGATTCGAACCTGCAGTAATTGCAGGCAGCTGGTCTTAATAACCAGCTTAATAACAGGGGTGCCTTAGACCACTGTACTACCAAGGCTCTTAATTTGTCATAACACTACCTTCATTGTAAGGTTAGAGTACTGTAACAGTATATTGCAAGTCTGAAAGGCCTTGCCCACTCCCTGCCTTTACTTTCCAGAAAAGATAGTCCTTTCTGAAGCCAATTACTGTCTATTTGCTTAACAAAGATTATTGTGAATTGAAATAGTAAAATGAACACAAAATGAAAAATGAACACTTAAAATGAACACGCATGTTGAAAGTATCTGATGCTGTCTCCGTTACTATTTCTTATATGGGCTGATAGAAGAAATGTCTAATACAGTGTTTCTCAACCTTGGAAGCTTGAAGTGGGTGGACTTCAACTCCCAGAATCCCCCAGCCAGCAGCGCTGGCTGGGGGATTCTGGGAGTTGAAGTCCACCCATCTTCAAGCTTCCAAGGTTGAGGAACACTGGTCTAATATGTCTTGTCTGGCAGGGGTCTCCAAATTTGGCAACTTTAAGACTTGCGGACTTCAACTCCCAGGATTCTTCAGCCAGCCATGCGTGAGTTGAAGTCCACCAGTACAGGTAGTCCTCAACTTACGACAACACTAGAGCCCAAAATTTGTGTTGTTAAGTGAGAAATTTGTTAAGTAAGCTTTGCCCCATTTTACTACTTTCCTTGCCACCGTTGTTATATGCATCATTGCAGTTGTTAAATCAGTAATATCGTTGAAAAGTGAATCTGGCTTTCCCATCGACTTTGCTGATCAGAAGGTCGCGAAATATGATCACGTGACCCCGGGACGCTGCAACCGTCATAAATAGGAACTAGTTGCCAATCATCTGAATTTTTATCACATGACCATGGGGATGCTGCAACGGTTGTAAGTGTGAAAAATGGTCATAAGTCACTTTTTTCAGTGCGGTTGTAACTTCAAACAGTCATTAAATGAACTGTTGTAAGTTAAGGACTACCTGTATTAAAGTTGCCAAGTTTGGAAATCCCTAGGCTGGAGCTCCTCCTCCCCCTGTCTCCCAAGGTTATCCTCACAGCCCTTTATACAATATGATCCTGCTGCTAAAAAAAGCAAACACAGCATTACTAGGAAACAGAAATTTTAAAATTGGAGGAATAGCCATTATACTCTGTTCTGCTTTGGTAAACACCAGACTTTGAGAAGATTTCAGACAAACTTGGAATAGCTTTGGGATCTGAGGATGATCAGGAGACCAGAAACTAAATCCTGTGAAGAGACATTCAAGGAACCGTGTAGTCTTGGTATCAAGAAAAGATAACTATCGCGGGAAATGATAGGACTGTTCAAATGTCTGAAAGAAGGTTGCTCAGAAGAAATTCAAGAAAGGTTTTCTGTAGTTCCACAGTGGGGGATGCAAAATAATGGATTTACCTTAGAAGAAGGCAAACTCTCCTTGAACGTTAGAAAAAAAAAATCTTGACAGTAAGAGCAATTCAGCAGTGGAACCCAACCCTCAAAGTGGTAGATACCATTTTATTGGTTGCAATCAAAGGGAAGCAATATAAACAGAAGAAGAGAGATCTGTTCCTAGGAATTTACCATCTAATTTCATCTTAATGGAAGAGAGAAAAGAAGGTAGAAAAGGAAAGGGTAAGAAGTGAAGGCAAGTGAATACACACTTGTATCTTACTGATTGTAATGTACAAGTTGTTCTTAATCTGGATGTTTGAAAGGACAAAGAGTCAGTCAGTTGCAAGCTAGTGGTAGCTAATGGCCATTTTATTGTTCTTATTTCGAATGCTGGTATTTCATAATGTGATTTTCTTTCAAAGGTTTGTGGCAGGTCGTAACCGACTCTGTACTGTGGAGTATTTGTGCCTATGTCCAATGGCTGATTGTCGCAATTTTTTCAATTCTGTAGAAGACCTGCAGTATCTGCCAGATGTTGCTTCCAAATTTGTGCAGTTTTGCATCACATCAGAGGATACATCAGCATAAATCTCCATATACATGTCCTGAATGTGGGGCCATTTGCAGATCAGTCCACTTCCAAACTCATGTCACAAAGAATTGCCTGCATTATACAAGAAGAGTTGGATTCCGGTTAGTATGATGACGATGATTTAAAACTATTCAAATATATACAAAAATCACACTCCGTTGGGATCGGAAAGGAAATATTCCTCTCCTTTGTCACATCTTGATCCTCTCTCTCTTGCTGATTAAGGGGGGTAGGAGCATCATGTGGAATTTTTCTCATCCTAAAATATTTGTTTAACTTCCATATCAAACTAACTGCTGTCTCACAGAGGATCAGGTTGCACAGGTAGTCCTCGACTTACAACAGTTCATTTAGTGACTGTTCAAAGTTACAACAGCACTGAAAAAAAGGGACTTACGGCCGTTTTTCAGAGTTACGATCTTTGCAGCATCCCCATGATCACATGATTAAAATTTGGACGCTTGGCAACTTGGTTCATATTTATGACAGTTGCAGGATCATGGGATCACCTTTTGAGGCCTTCTGATAAGCAAAGTCAATGAGAAGCCAGATTCACTTAACAACCAGGTTAGTAACGTATCAACTGCAGTGATTCACTTAACAACGGTGGCAAGAAACATCGTCAAATGGGGCAAAACTCACTTAACAAATGTCTCATTTAACAACAGAAATTTTGGGCTCAATTGTGGTTGTAAGTCGAGGATTATCTGTATTTATAACTTTCGTTTTTGCTTGTTAAATAGTGATTTGGGGGGGAGGGGAGATGTCTACTCAAGTCAGTTTCTTGGAACAGCCCCAGGGGCTGCTTTTTTGATCACAGCCTTGGACTCTTCCTCCTGCTCTTCCTCTATGCCCTCTACACTTACACAATTATACAGCATTTTACACACTGCTTAAGATTTAAGGTGATGATTGTAAATGATGGTAAAGCATCACAATTCTCCAACTGAGCTAAAGTATCATAAGTCACTGCCCAGATGCTCTGTGGAAAATTTTGGTGTTCAATTCCAACTTCCACGCAATAAAAATAGGGCCGTCTGCATCTCAGAAGGCAAATAATTCCAGTAGGTAAAGCAATATTTCTCAAACACAACTTTAAGAGGGGTGGGCATGCTGGCTGGAATTGAAGTCCACATATCTTAAAAGTTGCCAAATTTGAAAACACTGATGTAGGAGGAACCACTGGTTTTCACTACCTCACTTTACACAGGATGGAATAAATGTTCAGCAGCTTTCCATGTGTAATATGGACTGATCTTGCCAAGAAAGGGAAATATGAAAGCTAGTTTGTTTTTGCTTGAGCATCACATAAAATATGGTGACGCTTCCATTGTCTCATACTGCATCCTGAATACAGGGAATACAAGTTTTGCATAGTTTGAATCTAAGCCAATTGTAACATCTATCCCATTGCATTTCTTTCTTTCTTTCTTTCTTTCTTTCTTTCTTTCTTTCTTTCTTTCTTTCTTTCTATCTATCTATCTATCTGGCTTTTGAGCACATGCGCTAAAATAAGCCCCCCCCCCCCGAAAATAAGCTCTCCCCAAAAATATTTAAACGCATGTGCAGCCATCCCCACCATTTCCTCTGGCTCTAGGATTAGGGGAGACAGAGCTGGAAATCAGATAAAACGGCAAGAGGAGCCCCATCTTGCTCCATGTGCCCCAAAATAATAAAACCTCCCCAAAAATAAGGCCAAGTGCTTATTTCGAGGTTCAAAAAAATATAAGAGAAGGTCTTATTTTCGGGAAAACATGATTGATTGATAGATAGATAGATAGATAGATAGATAGATAGATAGATAGATAGATAGATGATAGATAGATACAGATACAGATACAGATACATTTGCTGACACTTTATTTTGCCATACTCTAAATTAAAAAAGAAATCTAAGCCATAGTTTAATATCATGTGGGAATAGCTCAGAATTTCAAAAAGAAGTTTCCTGATATGGAAGGAAAGATGTACTATCTTATCTTTTTTTCCCCTCCCCCTTTTAAATTCTACTATATTTATTTTCAATATTGTATTTATTAAGTTGTAATCATTTTTATTAGCTGTGCCCTGCTGTCAGATATAAAGCCAAATAGCAATATTTAAAACCAACAGAGCACATGTCCTAGGAGGCCTGAGATATGTGACTTTTTCCTTACTGCTATGGATTCTCTCATCAAACCTCTCATCACGTGTGGCCTCGGTCACCCAGCTGTGTCTTTACACCCTCACAAGGAATGTTAGGGAACTTCTCCCATGTCATACAGCTGCCAAAGAGCAGATGCCTTGGCTGTCTCTTCTTTTGTACTGCTGGAAAGGCAATTGCAGATCTTTTAAAAATTAGTATTCATTATGAATTAGTTTCACTTCCAGGATGTCTCTGTACTCAGAACTGTGTTTCATGGTGGCCTATTATTTTAGGAAGGTAAAAACTCTGGCCATATTCATCTCTGGAGATTTTCAAATCATCCAAGTCATGGTTGTCGCAAAAGTGTTTTTTTTCCAAGAAGCGACTGGACTTTCTTTCTTTTTTTCCTTGATGTTTCGCTTCTCATCCAAAAAGCTTCTTCAATTGTGAAGAAGTGAAGAAGCTTTTTTTTTTTTTTAATTTGATTTATATGCCGCCCTTCTCCGGAGTCTGAGGGCGGCTTACAATGCATTAAGCAATAGCCTTCATACTTTTGTATATTTATACAAAGTCAGCTTATTGCCCCCACAAACTGGGCCCTCATTTAACCTACCTTAGAAAGGATGGAAGGCTGAGTCAACCTTGAGCCTGGTAAGGTTCGAACCTGCAGTAATTGCAGGCAGCTGCGTTAATGACAGGGTGCTCTAAACCACTGTACTACCAAAGCTTCTTGGATGAGAAGCGAAATGTCTTCAAGGAAAAACAAAGAAAGCCCAGTTGCCTCTTGAAAAAAAGCACCTTTGGGTTTTGCCCTACTCCATCACTCGTTGCTTTCCATTCAACTACAATAAGAATCTTTTCCAGTCTTTATTGAGGAATTCATGCTTGCTTTTCTGTTTCTGTTTAATGTGCCCAGTTAGAAATCTAGGTAGACAAATTTTGCAATATCGTTTATAACCTCTGTCCTGGCCAGTACATCCAGCAAGGCTTTAACTCTCTTATTTTTCTTACAGCTGTGTCCATTGCAACGTGGTATATTCTGATGTGGCTGCACTCAAGTCCCATATTCAAGGTTCTCATTGTGAAGTCTTCTACAAGTGTCCTATTTGCCCAATGGCATTCAAATCAGCACCCAGCACCCATTCCCATGCCTATACCCAACATCCTGGAATCAAAATAGGAGAGCCCAAGTAAGTGTCCTTCTTGTCAAATTCCAGAAATTATTGAAGCTCAGATGAGACAATGTGCTTATTCTCTTAAGAAGTACATCCTGTATAAAATGGTCCCCACCCCCAAGCCATTTGAGCAGGAAGAGGCAAAAGCACTTAATATAGATAGTCCTCGATTTATAACCATAATTGAACCTGAAATTTCTCGTGCTTAAGTGAGCCAGTTGTCAAGTCAGTTTTGCTCCATTTGATGACCTTTCTTGCCACAGTTGTTAAGTGAATCACCACAGTTGATAAGTTAGCAGCATGGTAGTTAAATGAATCTGTTTCCCCCATTGACTTTGCTTGTCAGAAGGTCGCAAAAGGAGATCACATGACCTTGGGACGAAGCAACGGTCATAAATATGAGTCAGTTGCCAAGCAACTGTCTGAATTTTAATCACATGATCATGGGGCTGCTGCAAAAGGTCCTAAGTGTGAAAAACGGCGGCAAGGCACTTTTTTCAGTGCTGTTGTAACTTAGAATGGTTACTAAATGAACTTAGTAAATGTTACTATGTTGAGGAAAATCTGTAATTCATACTGCTAGAGCTGAAGGGAGCAGGCTGTGCCTTTTAGACTAGTGTTTCTCAACCTTGGTAGCTTGAAGATGAGTGGACTTCAACTCCCAGAATCCCCCAGCCAGCACTGCTGGCTGGGGGATTCTGGGAGTTGAAGTCCACTCATCTTCAAGCTTCCAAGGTTGAGAAACATTGTTTTAGACAATGCAATTGTAACATAAGATGTATAAGATATTTCGAGTTGAAAATAAGCTCCTCTTGCAAGGTTGGAGCAATCCACCTCTAGCTAAAAAAAATTGAATTTGAATTCTGAATTGGAAGATTTTTTCCCCCCCTCCATTTTAGATTCTACAAATGGGAAAGTTGAAAATTATTTTGGACGGAAAAAAAACCAATTTTGGGGAATTGCACTAAGTATTCTTCGATTCTGGTTCAGGGCAATGCATAGGTAAAGGTAAAAGTTCCCCTCGCACATATGTGCTATTGTTCCCGACTCTAGGGGGTGGTTTTCATCTCCGTTTCAAAGCCGAAGAGCCAGCGCTGTCCGAAGAAGTCTCCATGGTCATGTGGCCGACATGACTAAACGCCAAAGGCGCACAGAATGCTGTTACCTTCCCACCAAAAGTGGTCCCTATTTTTCTACTTGCATTTTTTACTTGTTTTCGAACTGCTAGATTGGCAGAAGCTGGGACAAGTAACGGGAGCTCTCCCCGTTATGTGGCACTAGGGATTCGAACCGCTGAACTGCCGACCTTTCAATCAACAAGCTCAGGGTCTCCATTTTATTTTATTTTATTTTATTATTTTATTTTGAGAGAATTTCTGTTAAATCAGAATTGTTACTTCCTTTTCAGTTGGGTATGGATGCCCTTTTAAAATTGACATTTGGCTCTGACATTTTGGGTTATGTTTTCATCATAATGCAGGAGTTAACTTCCAGTGAACTATTTTATATCCTGCTGAATCAGTTAAGGGAGTGTTTACCCTTGTTCCCCACTCCCCATCCCTGGCTTAGCTATTAGCTGCAGTTGTAATTGGAGAGTAGGTAGAAAGACGGAAATTCTGTTATGGCCAAATCACTGGACCGAAGAGAAAGATAATCCTGAATTACACAGGTGGCAACTACCAAACCAAAGAACAGGAAATGGCTGTGCCTGGAAGACAAATGACATTCTTTAGAGCAGGAATTTCGAACTTTAAGACTTCCCAAAGGTGTTTTTTCAGGAGGCAACTGGACTTCCTTGTTTGTTTGTTTTTTTTGAAGACATTTCGCTTCTCATCTAAGAAGCTTCTTCAGCTCTGACAGAATAGTGGGGAATGGAACCTTAAAGACTTGTGGACTTCAACTCCCAGAATTCCCCAGCCAGCCATTTTTATACACATAGAAAACACACAGCTCACAGTGGGAGCTATCATCTTGATTGCTTTTGCTACCACTACTGTCTCACGGATGCCCCTAGACATCAGTTCCTGTTCAAAGGAAGTGAATTAAATGCTAACAAAGACCTTTAAAACTAGTAATAGTGTGGACCCAAAAGCCCCTGAACCTGAGTGTGATAAAGGAAGCCCATATTTCTGTAGGCCAAAGAAGTGATGGCCTTTATGATATCAAAAGCGACTTTAAAATGATGGTAACATTTTGAGTAACTAGAATCTATTGCTTCAGTTAGAAGTGGCTGGGTGTGGTTTTGCATGCTGCCTGCATCCCGCAGATGGGACTTCCCTTGTTTGCATGGACCGGTTTCTGACATGCCATGGGCCGGTCCTGGCCACTGACCAGGGGTTGGGGACCCCTTGACTTAGAATGCTTTTTCATTAAAAAAAAAAAAACTTAGGGTTTGGAAAAGAAACCTAAAAATGTTTGCTGGAACCCTCACAATACTTTTGATAGTTCTTGACCTTGTAGAAATGTTTTGCCTGAGGAACAACGCCTGCTTCAGAGGTTGTTTCAGGCAAAATATCAGTCTGCGCCTTAATGGTAAATGGCTGATGACACCTCCTGATTAACAGCAAAACAGTTTCTGCTTTGTTGCCTCTGGCAATCCACATTGAGGCTCTTTAAATGTCACGGAAATTTCCTTAAAATGAATTTATAATGCAGGGAATAGGTCACACTCGTTAGCCTCATAACCAACATCACTGTGTCCGTCCGGACATGTTCCTGGCCTTTGTATGTGAGTTGAAAGACCTGTAAGGAATGTCTGTCTGAGTACAGCTGTGTATCTATGGAGCTAATATGGAGCCTTGGTGGCGCAGTGGTTAAACTGCATTATTGCAGACAAACATGAGTTTGATCCTGATGGGCTCAACGTTGACTCAGCCTTCCATCCTTCCTAGATTGGTAAAATTAGGACCCAGATTGTTGGGGGTCAATATGCAAATAATGCTTCTACATTGTGAACCTCCCAGAGAGTGCTGTAAAGTGCTGTGGGGCAGTACATAAGCCTAAAATGCTATTACTAACATACAGAAGTTACTGAGGCAGGAGTGAAAGGTGGGGTTCCATTCTTCCTCCATGAATTTCTCCAACTCTGGAGGCCAAGTGAATTTCTGTCAGCATGAATCCTAATATACTGTAACAAGCCACGAGTGAGAAGATTTGGGTCATATCCAAATATTCCTTAAGTATCTCTTACTTGGAGAAATGCATCCGAATAAATTGTAATACATCGATTTGAGGGCAAAGAATATACTGTACAATGTTGAATGTGTTTTTTTATTGTTGTTCCAATAACACTTTTCGCTTAGTCATGCTATGAACTAAATGACTGCAGTGGGCAGTCATTACTTCTTCAACTCTCTTTGGTTTTTAGAATAATATACAAATGTTCCATGTGCGACACAGTGTTTACCCTGCAGCCATTGCTGTATCGTCACTTTGACCAGCACATTGAAAACCAGAAAGTATCTGTCTTCAAGTGTCCGGACTGCTCGCTTTTGTATGCACAGAAACAACTCATGATGGATCATATCAAGGTACAAGTCATCCGGTTTTACTTGGAAGCAGCCCTATTGCATAAAACAATCAGGGATGATAATTAATTATAGGGAAGTTATTAAGAGTAGATGTCAATAGGTGGGGGATACTCAGCAAACACCTGAATTTAGCAGTACATTTAGATCAGGGGTGTCGATTTCATTGAGGGCCACATCAGGGTTGTGTTTGACCTCGGGGGCCAGGGTGGGTGTGGCCAGCTGGATGTCACTCGTTCAGGGGTGTCTGGTGGCCCAAGCGCTCTGCCAGCAAAAACAGGCTGCTGAGCTCCATTTTCAGGCACGACAGGCTCCTGCCGTGCTCTGCCAGCGAAAATGGGCTTCCAAGTTCCGTTTTTAGCCTCCCCAGGCTCCTGCCACACTCTGCCAGTGAAAATTAAGCTCAGGGGAGGCGCATGCGGCCCCTCTGAGCTCCATTTTTGCTGGCAAAGGGCAGCAGCAGGCCATTGCAGCCAAAAATGAAGCCCAGGAGGGCTGCGTGTAGCCCTCTCAAGCTCCATTTTTGCTGGCAGAGGCACTGCGGACTGATCCTTTGCTGTTTCTAGGGCAGCCCCGCGGGCCAAATATAAGGACCCCATGGGCAAGATCCGGACCCTGGGCCTTGAGTTTAACACCCCTGTTTTAGATAAAAAGGATGAAGGTCCCTCTTCATTACTATGTCAACCACTAATGCACTGTTTGTGAAAATTTGAACCTGAAATTTGTGATTTTTTTTTCAAGCCCTGAATGCCTTTGACTTCAAAAATTCAAATGGTGTGACACCTCAGAGACAATTTAGTGTCATGATTTTGATGATCCTATATACCATGATATTAGAAGACCTTATGCAAATCTTGTGTAATATTTCAGTGTTCTCACACAAAGTCTCATGTGATTAATTGTCACATGAGATTGATTGAATGCCCAACTTTTTGCACACAAGCCCATAACAATAATAAAAAAAAGCTCGCTTGAATCTTGAATATTCCATTCCCTCTAAATCAGGGGTCTCCAATCTTGCCAACTTTAAGACCTGTGGACTTCAACTCCCAGAATTCCTCACCCAGCAAAGCTTGTGGACTTTTAAGACTTGTGGACTTCAACTCCCAGAATTCTTCTGCCAGCTTTGCTGGCTGAGGAATTCTGGGAGTTGGTCCACAAGTCTTAAATTTGGCAAGGTTGGAGACCCCTGCTCTAATTAGCAGATACAATCTAATGGCCTTCCTTTCCTCCTTCCACAGTCCATGCACGGGACGTTGAAAAGCGTTGAAGGGCCACCGAACCTCGGTATCAATTTGCCGTTGAGTACAAAGCCTTCCATCCAGAACTCAGTCAGCCACAATAAAGAGGACTCGAAATCCATCAATGGGACGGATAAAGCCGAGAAGAATTCCCCGACTACTGTGAAGAAGGCAGAGCCCAAAAAAGGGTCTAATCCTGGCTGGACATGCTGGGAATGTGATCGGCTGTTTACTCAGAGAGATGTTTATATATCCCACATGAGGAAAGAGCACGGAAAAGTAAGTTGTTGTGGGATCCTGGGTTGTTCTCTGAGCGTGCTTGTTTTCTTGCAGACTTTTGAATACACAAATATTTTGATCTAGGCTTCCCCAGCAGCACGAAGCCGAGTCCTCGTCCCGATAAACCCCTTTCATTTAATTTACAGTGAATTCCCCTCCAGCAAAGTCTTTCCTCTCCCACAGTCTTTCAAGATAGTTCACAATTACTGACCTTTATCAGGCTTGGAGAGTGGCCAGGCCGATATCTTTCAGATGCCACAATATTTGTCAAGAATGCAGGAATGAACTAATTGTCTCCTGCAAACACCCCTCCCCTTTCGCTCCTCTTTTATTCTCTATGGGAGGGGCCATTCATTGCTCACCTGTGGCCTTACTCCCAAGTTGACCCTTGTTCCTTAGCTGTCCCCTTCTCCTGGCAGCTCTGCGCATGCGCACACTGGGAACAGGCTCCAGCTATTCATCTGCCTCACTGATATCTGACTCCGAAAGCAGCTGATATCTGTCATATTTATTTATTTATTTATTTTTGAATTTCTATACCGCCCTTCTCCCTGAGGACTCAGGGCGGTGTACAGCCAGAATTAAAAAACATGCAGTACAAATATTAAAAAACAATTAAAAGATATATAAATTTGGCCCAATTAAAACTCACTACCAATTAAAACATTTAAAAATTTCTTCTTAAGCCAGCCCGGCTTGCTTGAAAAAATGGGTTTTAAGGGCACGACGGAAGGCACTGAGGTCTTGGATTCATATGGCCCTGGCCCCATCTCTGCCTCCGACGCAGAGCCCTCGTCAGAGCCTTCTCCAAACTCCAAGACTGGCCCATGTTCCTCCCCAACCTCCTCACTGTCCAAATCTGCTACCAGCTCTGCTGGCCGCTGGCGGGCCACAACACCAAACTAGGTAACATCGTAAGTGCTAATAAGTTGTAGCTCTTACATCCTTCTATTTGTGAGCTCTACAAGTAGTCTCAACCGACAACAAATCGTTTAGTGACGGTTTGAAGCTACAATGGCACTGGAAAAAATGGCTTAATGACCATTTTTTCACACTTATGACCGTTGCAGCATCCCCATAGTCAGGTGATCAGAATTTGGACACTTGGCAACTGCCATGGATTTATGATGGCTCCAGTGTCCCAGGGTCATGTGATCACTTTTTATGATGTTCTGACAAGCCAAGTCAATGGGGAAGCCAAAATTTATATTGTTAAGTGAGACATTTGTTAAGTGAGTTTTACGATTTTTCTTGCCACAGTCGTTAAGTGAATCACCTGAGGTTGTTGAGTTAGTAACACGGTTGTTAAGTGAAACTGGCTTCCCCATTGACTGCTTATCAGAAGGTCACAAAAGGAGATTGCCTGATCCCGGGACACTGCAGCCGTCATAAATATGAATCAGTTGCCAAGCATCCAGATTTGAATCATGTGACCATAGGGATGCTGCAATGGTCCATAAGTATGAAAAACAATCATAAGTCACTTTTTCCGTGGTAACTTTGAACAGTCACTAAACAAACTGTTGTAAGTCGAGGACTACCTGTACTAACTTAACTACAGTGATTCGCTTAACAACTGTGGCAAGAAAGATTGTAAAAAGGGACAAACTCACTTAGTCTCACTTAGCAACAGAAATTTGGGGCTCAGTTGTGATTGTAAATTGAGAACTACCTATATTTCATGACATGCTTAACAGACTCATAGGGCAGGATACATGTGTGATGAAAAAACTCCAGTCTGCACAGATGAACTGTTTACCTAATCCAGAAAGGATTAGATTCACCCCAAAATCTTTGACCTTGTTTTGACTAAACAAATTCCTTCCAACTAAATCTCTCCATATGAAGGAAGTGACTTATCTGAATATTATTTGGCTCTTTTCATTCCCTGAGATTACAAGAGGATGAATTGGAGCCGGGGGGGGGGGGATGAATGAATTTTGGGGGGAAACTCCCATCTGTCTCGTATGTTTCACCCTCTCCCTGTAGCCAGATCGGGAGGGGAGGGGAGGGGGCCCCTCCTGGATATCAGTGGTGAAATCCAAATTTTTTTACTACCAGTTCTGTGGGCATGGTGTAGCTTGGTGGGCGTGGCTTGGTGGGCATGACAGGGGAAGGATACTGCAAAATCTCCATTCCCTCCCCACTCTGAGCCAGAGTTGGTATTTGCCGGTTCTCCGAACTACTCAAAATTTCCGCTACTGGTTCTCCAGAACCTGCTGGATTTCACCCCTGCTGGATATGCCTGAGCAGTGCTGACCACATTTATATCATTGGATTTTAAAGTATCTTTGGTGGGGAAAAACATGAAAAGACAGGAAGTGAAAAGGCAAGTACAACTTCCTTTGTAGCAGTTGTAAGAGCTAAAAGAAAAAAAATGCTGAGTGATAGAGCCAGACATCTTGTGTTGTTTCATGCCAGCACGCAACACAATGAGTCTGTTGACTGGTGAGTGGATGGCTAGAGGGTGTTTGTGTTGCATGAACACAACCAGTATGAATATTAGAGTCAAGCTGCTTTTTAAGTTGGTGCTGAATTAGCCTTAGTGAATTATATTTTATTCTTAGCAGCTCTCTCTTTCCGAATTGAATTTTCTATGAAATGTACTGATTACAACTTGTGTGTTGCCAAAGCCTTAGAAGATGACTCTTTTGGCAGCATTGAATAAAGTGTGAAAACCAACCATTCAGAAAATGAAATTAATTGTTTGTTAAAACAATCTGCCTGTGCATTTTTCTCGTGCATTCCTTATTAGTGCAATGCACAAGTAATAAAATAGCTTCAGAAATAAGTCTGCAGTTAACCAGCCTTTCACAGTTTTTAAGAATCTGAGGCTACGAGTTCCATTACATTAAATTACATTAAATTGTATTGAATTACAGAATATCTCTCTAGCATACTAAGTGGGATTTGGTAGGGATGCACTTATTTATTTAGAATAGAATAGAATAGAATAGAATAGAATAGAATAGAATAGAATAGAATAGAATAGAATAGAATTCTTTATTGGCCAAGTGTGATTGGACACACAAGAAATTTGTCTTGGTGCATATGCTCTCAGTGTACATAAAAGAAAGGATACGTTCATCAAGAATCATAAGGTACAACACTTAATGATATTATCCAAGAAGATGGGAGGTTAAGAAATATGAATGAATGAGTGAATGAATGAATGAATGAATGAATGAATGAATGAATGAATGAATATTCGTTATGGAAAGCCCATATGGTCTAGTGGCTAAGATACCAGGCTAAAAACCAGGATGCTGTTCTAGTCCCACCTTAGGCATGAAAGCTGGTTGCATGATTTTGTGATCCTGCACTTATGGGGAAAAAATAATTATATACATTTTTTAAATTCCTATGGCCACCCATCTTAAACAAATAGTGGGCTGGCAAACATCACAAAAACAGATAGACAAAACCCAAGTTCTAGCTCTTTTGTAATCCGCATGCTACAACCCAATGGATGCATGAAAGGGCAAGGTTTCTATCTCAATACAGTTAATTCTCAGTTAATGGCCGTCATTGGGACTGGAACTCTGCTGCTAAACAATGCAGTCATAACATGAAAAATCATGTGACCGCATTGACTTGTGACGACAATTCTGGCAGTTTTCCAGTTGCAGCAATTAGAAAAGCAGGGAAAGCACGGAAGATGCTTCGCTTGCGTTGGGGCTGAAAAACAGCTTCGAAAGCACAGCTGATCCTCAGAGGGAGGTCCGGTGACTAAAGCAGGTGAAGAGCGGAAGGGGTAAGAGAAGGCAGCAGCTGCTCTGGGTAGCCATTTTGGGCACCACGCGGGGTTACATTTGGAGTATAAGACGCACCCAAATTTTCAGTTTCTTTTAGGAGGGAAAAAGATTCGTCTTATACTCCGAAAAATACAGTAACAACAGTGGTGGGTTGTTACCGGTTCTCCCCGGTTCTTGCGAACCAGTAGTGGAAATTTTGAGTAGTTTGGAAAACCGGTAAATGCCACCTGGCCCCACTCCCAAACTATTGGCTGCCTCCCGAGTCCCAGCTGATCGACTAGAAGGAAAAAAACTGTTTAAACTCTTGCCGCGGCACTTCAAAGGGCCGCCCTACAGCTGATCAGCGGTAAAAAGCAGTGTGGTGGTAGACCAGTGCGCTCCAAAAACAAATAGGTAGACTAGAACATTCCAAAAACAAATGGGTAAACCGGTATGGCTCTGCAAGCAGTTAAAAGCCTGGTAGACCAATACCTCTGCTAAATCCTAAGGAATTGTCACATGACCATCAAACCACGCCCACAAAATAAGCCACGCCCACATAACCAGTACTAAAAAATTTTTAGAACCCACCCCTGAGTAACAAGGTTCCTTTCCATCTATGAAAATCCAATTGCACCAGAGGTGGGTTCTAAATTTTTTTACTACCGGTTCTGTGGGCGCGGCTTATTTTGTGGGTGTGGCTTGAAGGTCATGTGACTAGGTGGGCGTGGCTAGCTGGTCAGTCATTTCTGGAATGTCCTCGCACTTACGACCAGTCCTCGCACTTACGACCCGACTCATTTGTTTGCTTTTAACACTGATCAGCTGTAGGACGGCCCTTTGAAGCCCCACGGCAAGAGTTTAAACATTTTTTTTCCCTCTAGTCATCAGCTGGGACTCAGGAGGCAGCAATAGATTGGGGGTGGGACCAAATAAAAGGTAAGAATAACGTGGGGGGGGGCGGGGGGGAGAACCGGTTCGGTGACGTCATATCGTCACCGCTACCGGCTCGGCCGAACCGGGAGGAACTCACCACTGAATTGCACGTCTCCATTGTCAAAGCTAGGGTGGACAAAGCATGTGCAAGGATTAGGGAATATTTGCTGAGTGCTGGAAGAAGGTCATGGGAGGTGGTAGAAAGACTAGGTATAGCACAAATACTTTTCAAAGATGTATGATTCAAATGCTGAATGGGAGTAGCAAATTATTTCCCCCTTTCCCTGAGCAAGCGGGGTGTGGGGGAGCTGACTCATATTTTTTTGTGTCTGATACTCAGTGCAAACCCCTAGGCAAGAGTAAACATAATAAAAATGACGCTAGTTTTGCTGTCTGAGAGGGTTGAGGAGGTATGGGAGGAAGAAAGCAGCAGATGAACCCGTGGGAAATCTTGTGAAAATGAAATTGGCTCCAAAAAGTTAGCAGTAACAAAAAAAAACCTAGCTTCCTACAGACCTGAGATGCTAGGTGAGAGAGGCTTGACTCATCATCCTCAGCTCATACACCTTTGCTGATCAGGCCAGGTTATTATCAGAATTGCTGTCCCAACTACTTCCCAGCATAATTGGTTGAAGCCAGCTGATATAAATAAAATGCTGGTTTAGTTTCTTTCCAAAGCTGTCAGTGAAAAGGGTTGCACATCGGAAGGCAGATGGCTGAAGATGCACGTTTTTGTTGATTTGCTAGCAAGCAAATCCATCTTCCTCCATAAACTCGAGCAACATTTATAGTATTCCTCCATTTCTCACAAAAACAGTCCTGGAGGTAGGCCGAGCAGGCAGAGGGAACCAGCCTGAAGTCCTCCCTTGAGTTTCTGTGATTGAGGGCGGTATGAATGAACCTGGATCTCTGTCTCCACATTATACTCCAGCACCTTAACTACTGTACCACTCTGGCTGTAGAAGATATGGCGTGTTAGGCTTTGTGTCCCAAAAGTGCTTTTTAAAGAGGCAATTGAACTTTCCGGTTTTTCTTTGAAGACGTTTTGCTTCTCATCCAAGAAGCTTCTTCAGTTCTGACTGGAACTCCACACACAGTTGCACCACTCAGGTGACCCTGATGACACAGATAAACCTCCAAGTGCTTCAATGACCCTCTAAAAGGATGCAAATGACCAGCTGCCTGCAAAGAGTATAAATCCTTCCATTCCCCACCATCCTGTCAGAACTGAAGAAGCTTCTTGGATGAGAAGCGAAACGTCTTCAAAGAAAAACCAGAAAGTCCGCTTGTTTCTTGAAAAAGCACCTATGGGACAACCATGACCTAGATGACTGAGAATCTCCATAGACATTTTCTTAGAAGACGTTTTGCTTCTCATCCAAGAAGCTTCTTCAGCTCTGACTGGATGGTGGAAGAATGGAAGGATTCTTGGATGAGAAGAAAAAACATGTTCAAACAAAAAAAAGAAAGTCCAGTTGCTGTGAGGCCTGGAAGCCATCTTTTGCATTGGATCTTCAGGCCTGCCACATTTAGTGCTGCGGGAAACTGGGAGGGAGTATTGTTTGCATCTGGGGAGATATGTAGTCATAATAACATTCCTTTCTTTGAGAGTCAAGGACATCTTGCCCTGCACCTGGAGTGGTGTGACTGGGAGGCATCTCCAGTTGGGACGGTGCATTGATTGGGCCAGGTGATGGACGTGTGGGTGCTGGGCAGGAACTTGGACTTTCCTTTGGGTGGGGAAAACCTGGAAGCTTTCAGGTTGGGGTTTTCCCAGATGTGCCAATATGACAGCTCTAATAAAATGGAACTTTGAGGAACTACAAGCCTCGGAGTCTTCTTTAGTTGGGGGTGTTACTTGGAACCCTGACAGTTGCCTCTTGAAAAACCACCTTTGGGACAACTATGGCCTGGATGACTGAGAATCTCCATAGACAGTTAGACTTGTGGTTTCCAACTTTCGGTTGTAAGGTGCTCTGCTTGCAAGTGGTTTGTTGAAAGACAAAATATTTCTGCTTTCACGAATCAAGGAATGGGATCAATGGAGGACTCATCCCTAGGACAGATGAGGGTGGTGGTGATGTGATCTGAAACAGGGCTTAAAATGTAATCTGCACATGGATTGAGTTGTCCCTGAAGGGCCACTGTATCTCAGTGAGCAAAGTTTTAAGGAGTGAAAGCCTCTCCTTCTGAACTGAACCCAACCTTCGGTCTTGCTTTTCTTCAGATGTCTTTCTTCTCTGCCTCTTCCTTCTTAGACAAATGCAGTCCTTTTTCTATAGAGAGGAAGTGGAGGGAAGTAATCCTCTGTAGTCATGGAGAAAGCTTTTATTACCAATCACGTTTTTAGAATAATAATAATAAAAAAAACAAGGGTATTTTCATGAATTAGGATCAGTGGTGATATCCAAATTTTTTTACTACATGCACGTATCTTTCTCTCTGAGCTATACATATTTACATACATTAGATACATTAGATAGAAGGATCCATGGGGCCAGCCTGAGGGAGAGAAGGGGATAGAGAGGAGAGGCTTCTGTGGGGCCAGCCTGAGGGAGAGAAGGGGAGAGGACAGGAGAGGCTTCTGTGCGGCCAGCCTGAGGAAGGGGAGGGAGAGGAGAGGATCTATGGGGCAGCCTGAGGGAGAGAAGGGGATAGAGAGGAGAGGCTTCTATGGGGCCAGCCTGAGGAAGAGAGGGGAGAGGAGAGAAGAGGCTTCTGTGGGGGCAGGCCTGAAGAAGAAAGGGGGAAAGGGAGAGGAGAGGATCTATGGGGCAAGCCTGAGGGAGAGAAGGGGATAGAGAGGAGAGGCTTCTATGGGACCAGCCTGAGGAAGAGAAGGGGAGGAGGAGAGAGAAGAGGCTTCTGTGGGGCAGCCTGAGGAAGGGGAGGGGAGAGGAGAGGATCTATGGGGCAAGCCTGAGGGAGAGAAGGGATAGAGAGGAGAGGCTTCTATAGGACCAGCCTGAGGAAGAGAAGGGGAGAGGAGAGGAGAGGCTTCTGTGGGGCAGGCCTGAGGAAGAGAAGGGGAGAGGAGAGGAGAGGCTTCTATGGGGCCAGCCTGAGGAAGAGAAGGGGAGAGGAGAGGAGAGGCTTCTGTGCGGCCAGCCTGAGGAAGAGAAGGGGAGAGGAGAGGATCTATGGGGCAAGCCTGAGGGAGAGAAGGGGATAGAGAGGAGAGGCTTCTATGGGACCAGCCTGAGGAAGAGAAGGGGAGAGGAGAGAAGAGGCTTCTGTGGGGCAGGCCTGAGGAAGAGAAAGGGGAGAGGAGAGGATCTATGGGGCAAGCCTGAGGGAGAGAAGGGGATAGAGAGGAGAGGCTTCTATGGGACCAGCCTGAGGAAGAGAAGGGGAGAGGAGAGAAGAGGCTTCTGTGGGGGCAGGCTGAGGAAGAGAGGGGAGAGGAGAGGATCCATGGGGCCAGCCTGAGGGAGAGAAGGGGATAGAGAGGAGAGGCTTCTATGGGACCAGCCTGAGGAAGAGAAGGGGAGAGGACAGGAGAGGCTTCTGTGCGGCCAGCCTGAGGAAGGGGAGGGGGAGAGGAGAGGATCTATGGGGCAAGCCTGAGGGAGAGAAGGGGATAGAGAGGAGAGGCTTCTATGGGACCAGCCTGAGGAAGAGAAGGGGAGAGGAGAGAAGAGGCTTCTGTGGGGCAGGCCTGAGGAAGAGAAGGGGAGAGGAGAGGCTTCTATGGGGCCAGCCTGAGGAAGAGAAGGGGAGAGGAGAGGAGAGGAGAGGCTTCTGTGCGGCCAGCCTGAGGAAGGGGAGGGGAGAGTAGAGGCCAGATTATAACTGCTCATTAATTTTCAAACTCTACGTGTCGATTTATCAAACCCGATCACATAGTTTCGTATCAGAGCAAGGGATATTAAGCTAGTAAGCCATATAGAAGAAGGCTGACAGCACATTTTCTGGTTCCCAGTTTCCTTTTTCACTCCTAGCTACAGCTGGAGAGGTGGGACCTGGAAAAGGATGCAGCTGTTTCAGGGAGTTACAGAGAAAAGCACTGCATGTGTTCAGAAGTGTCTTTTCGCCCTTGAATTTAAAGCACTCTGCCTATAAGCCTAAGACAATTGGTTACAGGAATCTGGGTTACAAACCACTCTGGCAGAAGATCTCACTGCCAAGAATGGGGGAAGGATGGTTTTGGCCTGTATTTAACAAGTGGGATTTGGGTTTATGTGTTCCTTCCTCTGCTTTTTGACATCTGGTTTATATTAATGTTACCTCTCCCTGACTTCAATGGGCCTGGGGAAGCAGTTGGAAATTGGGCAATGGGTCATCCCTGTCATTAAAAAAAAGCTGCATTTGTTAAGCAGATGTAGTAGTACTTAAATGAATCCATTGTCTGCAATGGACAGGGTATTTTTTTTGTTTTGTTTTGTTTTGTTTTGCCAGAAATCAGAAGTAAACACTGTTTTCTATTGAAAACATCCTACTTAAATTATGTGACTGCAGGACACTACAAACAATTATAAATGTGAGCGACTTGCCAAGTGCCCAAAATGCTATCATGTGACCTTGGAGATGGCCATCAGAATTTTGAATTTGGGTCTTAAGTAGCCCTGGGGAGGTCCATCATAAATTCCAACTAATCGCTTAGCATAAACCGAGGACTCTCTGTAGGTTATTATAGGTAAGGGAGAAGTTATTCTTATGATTTTTAAAAATTATCTGTGTGCATCTCCCTCTAGTGGACATGGTGGGATTGGATACAGACATGACTAACTTCACTCCCATTTCTTTCAGAAGTTTTGTGTTAAGTTTGCAGAACTTAAACTCTGCGCACAAATCGATTGCTTTGCAACGGTATCTGCATAGCGTTGCTAAATTGGTTCAAAGAGTCCCTGGTGTTCAGAACGCTCTCCTTAAAGCTGCAGTCTGAATCCCTCTGTTGACATTTAAAGGTATCTGCTCCTTCTTCAGTGTTTTTTTTTTCCTTTCGTTAAAGCAAATGAAGAAACATCCTTGCCGACAGTGTGACAAATCATTCAGTTCATCGCACAGCCTTTGCCGTCACAATCGCATCAAGCACAAAGGCATCAGGAAAGTTTACACCTGCTCGTAAGTTCTGCTTTTGAAAGTTTTCATTTACGTCAGCAGACAAATATTCGACAGTATCACATAGTAACAGGCCAGGCAAGAGTTAAAGATTTCCCGTAGACCTTCAGATTTGCAAAGTCTTTGAATAATCATTTGGGGCTGTCATTCGTATGATGCCGCCCCCAGTGAGTCTGTCAGATCTTTACCTACCGGGCTTACTTCAAAGTTATGGAGAAGGACAGCTTTCACCTTTCATGCATCTTGGCTAGATATTGATTGCCTGTTCATCTTTGAGCATCATTTGGATAATACTGCACATTTGAAGCTATCCGTTCATAGCCTGCTCTGCGTTTTCTTCAGGCACTGCCCGGATTCCAGAAGAACTTTTACTAAGCGATTAATGCTAGAAAAACATATTCAGCTGATGCACGGCATTAAGGAACCCGACGTGAAAGAAATGGCAGAATCAACGAACATGGGAGAAAGTTCAGTCAAGGAAGACACGAAGGTGAGCTATCACGTTTCTCATTGATGTGGGTCATATTTCTGTAGAAGCATATATCTTCCCCCCCCCCCTTTCTAGCAGCATCCACAGGAAGTCAATAATCAAAACATTGGTCATAGCAGTGCACCCCTTTTGTACATGGATCATAAAGACAAACTCTGTGGGAGGAATCCTTTATGGAAGGTAAAAGGATAACCAAAGGCTCTAGAACAGGGGTGTCAAACTCGAGGCCTACAGGCCGGATGTGGCCCGCGCGGCCATCCTGGAAATGGTAAAGGCTCAGCCCGTGTCGCTTCACCCCAGCCCATGCCTTCCCAGCAGGCATGCATATGCACAGGAAGCGGCAGGTGCATGCGTGCACAGGCCCGGCCCACACCATCCCGGCAGGTGCGCAGGCTCACAGGAGGAGCCAGGCTCACATGCACATGCCAGGATAGGGTAGGCCGGGCCTGTGCGCATGTATGCCCGCCACCTCCTGTGCTCAGGCATGCCTGCTGGGATGGCATGGGCCAGGCCTGTGCACATGTCCACCAGTTGCCTTCTTCGCACGTATGGCCCGGATGGGATGGAATGGGCCAGGGCAAAGCAACACCGGCTGGCACCTTACTGTTCCCAGGACAGCCGCATTTACTGGCCTTTCTGGTGTGCACGGTGGGGGGGGGGAGGTGTCCGGCAGCAGGGGCTCCACAGCTGGCCCTCCAAGAAGCAGACACAATGGCAGCAGAGGCAGAGGGTGGGGGGAGGCACGTGATGCACAACACCGGACGTTCTTGCTCCATTCCATGTGGCTGGAACAGGGCAGGTGGTTGCCTGGCGCATCCATCAGGCCGGTCCGTGTCCCTTTCCCCTGCACCTCTGCATCTGGCTACTGCCGCCACCACGGGCCAAGACAAGGTGAGGAGGGTGTGGGCTTTAGTTTTTATTTGTGGCTTCATTAACTATGATTTAACCTTGGAACTGAGCCCCATGGATTAAAAAGGTCCGTAGTTCCCCTCCAAGCACAATATATCAAGCACAGAATTGGCCCTTGGGACTTTATGGCTTTTTCAGATTATCCAGAAGGCTAAAAAGCAGGTTGAAATCGTATAAGTCTGCAGGTGGGAAGGGTTTCCTATTCAGTATATATTAGATATAGCTGTTAAATATCTGCATGATGGAGCATTTGCCATCTTTTGTGCCTCTTTTCCATTTTTTTCTGGAAAGGGGCCAGAGGCAAGCTGTGCTTTGAGAACTAGCTTTGCTAGAAACAGATGTCTCTCAAGTCTACTCCGCAGGTACAGGCACCTGAGGTTTAAAAAGGTTGTCCTGTAGGTCCATCAAAGTCCATGTTTCTATCTCTCAACAACCTGAATCGTATACCTTGACCTCAGAGCTTTTGGTACAGCCCAAAGAATTCTTTCAAAACGTTTCCACTTAATTTTCATCTTCGGGAACAGCAAAAAAAAAAAAAAGAAAGAAAGAAAGAAATTAAGTCCATAGGGAATGATCATATGAACTGCATCTAATTAAAATTAAATCAAATGTAGCTTTATTCCTGGCCCCTTCTATTTGTTTTTGTCCTGATCTAGCAGACTCGTGGACTGAGAAAAAGGTTGCTCCTCCCTATTTATATTAGGTATTTATAAGTGGGGCCCAGAGGTTCTGGCTTCACCCTGCTGTCTGGTGTCATGTGTTTATTATTACCCTTGTAAAGGATACAATCCTATGTTGTAAAGATAGAAATAGACATTATTGTGTCTAATAATTGGTGACATTCCTATCCTCTTAATCCAGTGGTGAAATCCAAATTTTTTTACTACCGGTTCTGTGGGCGTGGCTTGGTGGGTATGGTGTGACTTGGTGGGCGTGGCTGGGGAAGGATACTGCAAAATCCCCTTTCCTTCCCCACTCCTGGGGGAAAGATATTACAAAATCTCCATTCTCTCCCCATTCTGGGGCCAGCCAGAGGTGGCATTTGCCAGTTCTCTGAACTACTCAAAATTTCCACTACCGGTTCTCCGAACTGCTCAAAATTTCTGCTGCCAGTTTTCCAGAATCTGTCAGAACCTGCTGGATTTCACCCCTGTCTTAATCCACTATGACTTCCTTCTTAAAGTCACCCATAACATAGGAAAGCACATTTATAGATAGATAGATAGATAGATAGATAGATAGATAGATAGATAGATAGATAGTTAAAGAGCCGCGGTGGCGCAGTGGTTAGAGTGCAGTACTGCAAGCTACTTCTGCTGATCACCAGCTGCCAGCAGTTTGGCAGATCGAATCTCACCAGGCTCAAGGTTGACTCAGCCTTCCATCCTTCTGAGGTGGGTAAAATGAGGACCCAAAATTGTTGGGGGCAATATGTTGACTCTGTAAACCACTTAGAGAGGGCTGTAAAGCACTATGAAGCGATATATAAGTCTTAAGTGCTTGTTGCTATTGCTATTTAGCGTATGGGAAATACATGGACACAATGTGATGGATATTTTGTCCTTTGGGCCAGAAAAGGCCCGTTTCCGTTGCCATGTATATAGAGAGACAGGAGTTCTACAAAGATGTCTGGCTACCAACTGTTGTTAACTGCCAATTCTTCAATGTAGCCTGACTGCCAGTTGTTGCTAGTCGTTTGGTTCACACTACCGTGCTATCCAGGGTGCTATCCACGAGGAGGCGAAGTAGCAACACCGCCTCAGGAAAGCTCATTCTATCCATGATACTGCGGATTTGAACTTCTGTCTCAAATTTCATTTCACTGACAAAGAACTCTGTATGAAAGTGACTGGCCGTGTTGTACTTGATTTCTTTAATGGACATGTTTAATGTTGTTCTCAACTTCTTCAGGTTCCCAGTCCAAAGCGTAAATTAGAGGAGCCCGTGTTGGAATTCAGGCCCCCTCGAGGGGCCATCACCCAGCCGCTGAAGAAGTTGAAAATCAATGTTTTTAAAGTTCACAAATGCGCCGTCTGTGGCTTCACAACCGAGAACCTGCTTCAGTTCCACGAACATATTCCCCAGCACAAATCTGACGGCTCCTCCTATCAGTGCAGGGAATGCGGTCTTTGTTATACGTCCCATGTCTCTTTGTCTAGGCATCTCTTCATTGTCCATAAGCTGAAGGAACCTCAGCCTGTTTCGAAACAGAATGGCTCTGGAGAAGACAGTCAGCAGGAGAACAAGCCCAGCCACGAGGAGGAATCCACGGATCGATCCACCTCTGACAGGAAATGCAAAGTGTGCGCAAAGACCTTTGAAACGGAAGCTGCCTTAAACACCCACATGAGGACACACGGGATGGCTTTTATTAAATCCAAACGAATGAGTTCGGCTGAAAAATGACCTGTTCCTGTCTTTCATCCCATAAGCATCTTCCAAAAGCCCTGGAGGGGGGGAGGGGGAGAAATCAACCTTTCTACTTCAGAATGGAGTTGACTTTTTTCTTTGGGGGAATATAAAAGATTTACCATACCGTAAATTTTAACAATTCTCCCCCAGGCTGTTGCAATAGATTCCACTCTATTCTATATTTCAATTTTATCTTCCTCACCTCATATCACTATAGAGATTTATAAGTAGTCATTCGTCATTCACTCTCGCCTGAAAGACAGCATTTTAAAAAAAAAAAAGCAGTATTTGAGTCTAAAAGAATTTGTATATATTTAAACAAAAGGAATTTCATAGTCTTTGTTACATGTTTGTATTTGTATTTAGTGGGGTTTTTTTCTTTCCTGTTTTGTTTGTCTTTCTTGCTTACGTCTTTTCTAACCAATGGATTGTTTCGAAGCAGAATTCTTAAAACGTTGGAGCAATACTTTAGATGTATTAAGCTGATTCAGATGTGATCCTTTTCTGAGATTGCCTGAGTAGCTTTGGAAAAATTCCCCCTGTGTTTCGCTCTCGTGTTCCCTGGGAAGAAGAACCCCAATGAAATAGTTCCTTCCCAACCAGCATTACCCCTTCAGAAAACTAGGTCATGTTAACCCAGGAAAAGACAGCCATGGGATATATATATATATATATATATATCTCCTTGGATTCCATTTATCCAGAAATGTTTGATATTGCCAACATTGTGCTGAAAAAGCAGCTCACACATTTCTGAATGAAAAGTCAGAAGAATCGTGTGTCTGAGCAGAGAAGGGTTTTTAAAAAGCAAATATGTTTTTTGTTGCAGCTCAAGGAGCAGTTGTAGTTGGACCTGCAAATGAGTAGCCTGATTCTTATGACTAGGAGGATTAAGGATCATTTAATACGATCTCTTGCTTAAATATTGCAGGTGTTTTGGGAAAAATCTACTCAACTTGAGAATTTCTCCATTGAGAAAATTCGGAGTACAGTATTTAGCCCATGAGGGTTAATCTACTTTGCAAGAGCTCATTTGGAATGAAGCGGAGTTGAATCAAAGCAGTGGGGTTTGATTTTTTTGGTCTTGGAGGACTTTGCTATGTGTCATTTTAATCCTTGTCTGTCTTCACAGTCCTCTGCTGAGCTTTGAGAGACCTCATTGAATGTTGCAGGACCTTTTAAAGGCCACTTGAAGATGCTTTTCAGTATTTTAAGTTTGTCTTTGTCTGTTACGGTATGTAAGATGCAGAATAAGCGTAATTATTTTAAATGTGTGGTATCCACAGTCAATCAAGTTGAGGGATAAAAGAAGGCCATGTGCCAAGTCAGTCTTGAGCAGCAGTTTTTATAGGATGTCAAGCATTCTTTTAATCATAGATATGAATAGAATCATAGAGATTTTGAACACAAGGAAACAACAGCCAATCGCCGGCCATCAAACACACCAATCAACCAATAGGAAGGCACCACATAAATATAATGCCTAGAGTAGCCCAAAGCACACATTCCGGTAGAGAGAAGTTCCCTGAGGATGGGCTCCAGCAGAAGTCCGAAAACTTCAGTGATCGACCCAGATTGGATCTTGCATAGAGATTTGAATTGGGGATCATCTGCATGCAATACTGCTGATTTTTGGACTGTCTCACAAAGATTTAATTTAATTGCTTATTAAAATATGCACTCATAATTGGACACCATAATGATAAGAAACCTTTACTGCAAGGGTGGTAGCTGCCATTGGCCCTCAGCGGCCCTCAGACCCTCTGAAGGACAAGTCCAGTTGGCCATAGATGGGAAAGAGAAAGAATTTAATGATTAATTGTTTTATTTATTTACGTGTGTGTGTATATGTATATATATACATCAGGGATGGGTTCTACTTACTTTACCGGTTCACAATGGGGCTGTGCTTCGCTTGCGCGCGCACGCATTCTTCTGCACATGTGCAGAAGCTTTCTGATGACATCCGAGTCAGTGGGCAGCGCCTCCTGGCAGTTTTACTACCAGTTCTTGTGAACCGGTCCGAACCGGGGGCAACCCCCCACTGATACACATACATACATACATACACACAAACGCACACACGGTTCTTTGAGTTAACAAATACTCATCACAGATGCAAGATCACTAAACAAGATAAAATGTCTTGCAGTTTTAAGCAAGTTTCTTCCTCTCATAAGAAGCGCTGAATGTTAAGATCAGAGGACCATGGGCCTGAGTATGATTTTCAGATTTCCTAGAATTTAGCTTATAAAATCGAAGTCGTGTGGCCTGCTCTTCATGGCAAATATTTGGCAAATTTATCCTGTAAAAGGCAGAGGTCGTCAATCCCCGGGCCACGGCCCATTCGAAACCTGGCTGTGTTTAGATAATTCCAGCCTATTCAGAGTGTTTGAACCTCACATGACCTCCTGCCTTGCTTCTGATCCTTTAGAGCAGGAATCTCCAAACTTGGCAACTTTAAGACTTGTGGACTTCAACTTCCAGAATTCCTCAGCCAGCTTATTTTAGCTGGCTGAGGAATTCTGAGAGTTAAAATCCACAAGTCTTAAAGTTGCCAAGTTTGGAGACCCCCTGCCTTAGGGACATCCAGGTTATTGCTACCATGCTTTGAATTTAGAGTAATTCCATGCAGCTGTTTCCATGGAGGTTAACTTTTTGGATAAAACTTAACCCTGGCTGAAAATGTCTTCCAGTTTCCTGACAGTGTTATTCCCCTCTACAGCAGTATTTCTGCTTTATTCTTAGGCTGGTTTATCATTTCTTTTGGTGGTGTTTTTGAGCTTGCATTAATATTGCATTAAGTGGCAGATGTTGCCATGATATCTCTTCTCCAGTCTTCTGACCTCCCGTTGGAGGAATGTCCTCCAGGTGTCTTGCCTTGGCTTTTATTGCGTCAAGTGTAGGAAGTAAGACGGCTTAAGACTCTTATAAGAACAGTTGCAGAAGGATGGCAGGGAAGCTCACCCAACTATTTTGACCAGGATGACGATAAGAATCCTTGTTTCTTTTTCATCAGATTTAATGAGAACAGTGGAGGGAAATGCAGTAGAAATTTTCAGCGTGGCACTAATTAGAAAGAAGGTCATCCAAGACCTTTGGGTATCTCCCATTATATGTGAACAAGGCAGAGATTTATGCACATTTAAGGAATGGCTAAAGTATGAAAGAAGTTGTGTGGTTGCCAAGGTTGATGGATGAAATGTTTGCTATTTTAGAATAATGAATTTTTTTCGGGCTATACATTAAATAAACGTTAGTCATAGGACTGTGTGATGCAGGCATCGTATTGCATCATAGAAAAGAGACATGAGAACCACAAAAGCACTTGAAATGTAAAAGCTGTTATATAAATAATGATAAATAAATAGTTCTAGCCATCTGGTGGCCTCTTAATTTGGAAATATGATATAAATTCTTTTTAAAAAGACATTCCAATGTACAGATATATATATATATATATATATCATATAGATTAAGATTCTAGATAATATTAGGAGTTATAAAGTGCTTTAGATTATTCCAAATGCTTCGTATATATTATCTCGATATTTCTTGCATTCCTGTTAGAGATAAGAGCGATTATTCCTATTATGCTGCTGAGGTGGGGAGCATTGAACCAGAGCCAGCATCTTTTCTACTGAGCCAGGAATTCAGAGTCAAGGTTACATATGAATCTGGGATTTCTCAGTTCTTCCATCATTACTGTCAAAGCTGATTCGGATTCTATCCCTCAGATTCACATCAGATCCTTTACCAATTCATGCTCCAGATCTCATGGGATGCATTCCCACTTCACAATCAGGAGGCTGTGAGTTCGATCCTAGGTAGAGGCAGATATTTCTCCCTCTGGGCACAATGAGAATATATCTGCTGAACAAAACTCTGCATTGGCAACAGGCCATTAAACACACTGTTAGCTCCATTCAGTTGCCCAGCTGCTCCACAAGGGATTATGAAGTCATTAAATGATGATGATGATGATCTTATGGGATGCATAATGCAAAGCTAATTCTTCCCCCCAAAAAAGTGTAACCTGCCTTTTAGATAGTTCCCATGCAGGAATTCAGTTCCTAAATATGGTACAGTGTGTGGTGGACTACAGTGTTTAGACCAATTGAGGTCACTCTTCTCGATTCTTTTTCTTCCTAGTGTTTTCCCACAAGGGCACGGTCTGCTTTAGTGTACGGCCAAGTGTTCATCCAATTGACTGACCAGCTGTCCCTCAAACCTGACATCACAGGCTAAGAAAATCACCCAGCTGGCTTTTTATACCTAATGTGAGACTAGAACTCACAACCTCCTGAGCCTGGTGCCTTAACCACTAGATCAAACTGGCTCTCGGTCACTCTTCTGGATTGTGATTCTGATGGTTATGAGAGTACAAATAACCTACAGGTATAAGATGAAGGTAGCTGAAGCCCTATTTTTCACATTAAGGCCTTTTAGAAATCAGGCTGAATCAGAAATCAGAAGAGAAATCAGTTCTGAATCAGGTCCATTCAACTAGAGATTACAGAATAATAAAAGTTGGAAAGGTGGTCTTGGAGGTCTTCTAGCTCAAGCAGGAGACTCTATACCATTTTAGACAAATGCTTGTCCAGTACCTTCTAAAAAGCCTCCAGTGTTGGGAGTACCCACAACTTCTGAAGGCAAGTTGTTCCATTGGTTGATTTTTCTTACTGCTGGGAAATTTCTCCTTGTTCAGTTTCTATCCATTTCTTTTTGTTTTGCCTTCTGGTGCTTTGGAAAATAGTTTTTTTGTGGCAACCCCTCAAATATTGGAACACTAGTTCTTCTTTTCACTAGAGTAGACATACCCAATTCCTGCAACTGTTCTTCATATGTTTTAGCCTTCAGCCCCACCAATCATCTTTATCTCTCTTCTTTGCAATCTTTCCAGAATCTTTTTTTATATTGTGGTGACCAAAATTGGATAACTGCAAAACATTTTTTAAAAAACACAAAAAACAGGTGGTGAGTCTGGCCAGGATGTTTTCTGAGATCAGATAACCCAGACAGGGTTTTGCTGAGTGATGGCACTCACTTGTCTCTGAAGTAAGCTGTCTCTGAATTGCGAAGGGAAATGTATTTAAGGTGCTTGTGGGTGTGTACATGTCAGTATTACCATTTACACCAAAGTTGTTGAAAGACACTGAAGACTTTAAAAAAGATTGTGAAGGTTTTGAGGTTGCAGATCAGGGGTGGGATTCTGCCGGTTCAAGTGTATCGGTAGCTCTGACGATCAGCTGGTATGCACTATACCTACCTTTATTTCCTTTGCTTGAAGCTCAGCTGATCGGCGCGGTAGCGCAGATTGATGTCCCTCAGCTGTTTTATTCACCAGAGCTGCAGTAGAAGGTGCTGTTTTCATATGTACTGTGCGCACACGGATCGCCCATTTGGCGATCCCCAAAGCGCGCACAGAGCAAACCAGTTGAATCCCACCACTGTTGCAGATCATCA